TTAGGATCGATGTAATAGGAACATGCTTTTGCCACATGCAAGGAAACCAGAGACCGAAAAGATTCCCTAGTAACGGCGCCCCTAGAAACAAATGAAGGCCTGGTCTCGTCGCCAACGTTGTTGTTTGAGATAATTCTACGGCGCGATTCTTTACGAGTCCTTGTTTCACTTTGTTTCTCGAGCTTTCCTGGCAAAACACGCACACCTTATTCTTGTTCTTATCGTTGGGACAGGGCCTCTAGCTACAGATTAATGTCCGAGATAGGACCGTGCTGTTCTCGGGCACGATTCCTTCAAAGGTGAAACCCCAACGCTTATGGTAACGATACCGACAAACTGCAAAAAAACCGAGCTCGGGGGCGGGGGTGTTCCGCGACGGGTGGATCGGTTTCAGATGTAGAGCCTGGCTATGTTGTTACTAGAGCACTAAACACCACATGTAGCTCCTCCTGCTATCTGGCTATCGCTTCCACTGGTGTATAGCCCACCCTAGCGCGGACCTACTTTATCGTACTCACTGAATACGAGCGCTAAGTACAATGTACGTGAGCAAAGGAAGCCGATCGTCTCTACAGGAACGTCAGCAAACGGTCCACAAAAAATAGAAGGCTCTATCTCAATAACAAGCTAATGGAGAAGCATCCGATCTAAAACTAGGCACCGAAAACTTCGTCGAAGAACCGGAAGCATGTTTTCCTTTGAAACAATGTTTGAAGTCTCAAAGAAACAATCTATGGGAAACAGAAACTAACCGAACAAAAACCCCACGCGATTTGGAGCCAGATTTAGCGCAAGTACAGTCGGGCCGATCACTCACCACCACTGGTCTCCCATGCGAATTCCCACTCTCACCATTCACTTACAGGAAACGCAAACGTTTTTGTATTCTACTCGCGCGCATGGGCAATCTGCAAGCGACGATTACGGAACGACTGCGAATTACTGTGCGAAACTCGCGCGGTAATAGATGACATAAGCGGCGACGCGGGGATTGTCACTGAACCCATTCGTTCGTGGGGCTAAACCAGGAAGGTCGTTCAGGACGCCATTGCCCCCTCAAAATGGTTTTCTGTGCGTTTTTAAGCATCTATCAAGCACAGAAATAAGAATTATTCTTTCTGAACGGTCACGGGAAGAGGGTCAACCGCGGGTTCTGGCCACTTTTCCGAACGAGGGCGGTTCGCATGCCGCTATTTTGGTGGGAGCGAGCATTATCGCATTTTGAGCGTTTAGCAAGTAACTAAGTTGGGATAGAGATTGCTGAACGAGGCGGTTGTAAGAAAAGGTGCTCTATGCGACAGGTTTTTTGCGGGTTCAGAAAATAGAAATATTAATGAAGTAGGATAGGGTAAAGTAGACAGAATTAGTGAATTTGCCGGTTTATGGCACCAATTTGCCCACCCTCCCCCCCCCCCTTCCTCGCTGATGGGCCGTTTTTGGAGGAAAAAGTGGGCGGAGTTAAGGGCGTAGCAGCTCGCCTCAGAATTCGACTGGTTGTGCCTCAGACAAATACCATAGAAGCAGCCATGCTGGTGAAGGTGGATCGGGCAGAGAAGGGTTCTTTATTCGCGGCCAGTTTCTAAGTCTGTAGGGGTGAGGGGTCGCCCGACCCCGCAAGAGAAGGGAAAGTGCAATGCGACGGGAAACTTTCTGGGAATGCCAAAAGCCGTTGGAACAAGCTTGTGGTTCGAGTTTCCGTATGGCCCATTCTTCTGATTTCAGACCACTGTCAAAACTATTAAGATGCAACCGGAAGGGGCTCGACAATCAGGCATTCTTACCGCTATTTTTGGCAAAACCCAGGATCGCCAGGAATAACTCTACCTCATTACCTTGCTTCATTGGCGGAGCGCACTATAGCGGGCAGAAAACTAAGTAATAACCGGGGTGAATAAGTGTGGGAAGCGCGCTCCAATGCCCTAATCCGACAACGCTAAGGATCAAAATAAGAGCCTTGAATAACTTATCAGTTACGAAGGTTAGCTTTAAAGGAGGATTGCACGGAAAGAACGAAGGTCGAAGAAGGGAGAAATCGCCTAGTGGGGAGAGCGGTGAATCTCTTGAGGGTGCGGACAGACACGCAATCGGCATCGAAAGATTTGACCTCTGAGATCTAGCATGGCTCAAAGTTGGCGAGTTCGGCGATCTCCGCCCACCGATCGTCTGATCACTCGCCGTAGTACAATAGGTGGCGAGTGATTAGATAGCTGAGAGAGCGTAGGGTTGAAGAGGGCAAAGCGATGAGAGTCCCATCAATGCTCAAATCAACGGACAAGGAAGGGGTCCCATTTCTCCGGTTCTGGGCCGTTTTTCGTGGTTTCGCTTTCTTTCTGGTACTACTCACCATCTCTACCTCAATTTGGAATGGGTTGCTTTTCCATCGTAAATTCGTCCTTTAAGCTTCTATCACTAGCGCTGGAAATATCCTAGCACTAGAGACGCAAGGGATAATGAAGTGCCCCCCCCCCTCGGTTTTCACCTCAAACCGTTGTGAAATAGCATTCCATTTTCTGGACGGCTTCCTGGCGATTGATGGATTATTCTTCAAAACCACTGCGCGCCAGTTTATCCCGAAGCAATAGATGAATGAAAAATGTCTCATTTTGAAGATGGAAATGTCGTCAAGGTAACAAGAAAAGGAAAGAGAACCAGAAAGGGAGTCAAAGTAGCAACTGGTAATGTCAAAGGAATCTTAATAGGCATCCAGTTGATTTCGATTACAGTGGAGCAGGTACTTGAAAGAAACTGGTTCCAATAACTGGTACTGTAAACTTCTAGTACTATAAAGCTGTCCAGCCCATCGCCGGCTGGCATCTACTGCACTACTGCACCCTGCAAACTGGTACCTGATATCTGTTGATGGCGTCCTCAATTCGACACTGTAGGCAGAGGCTGTTCAGATACAGGTTGTGCCATCGCTTGCGTATCGCACCCAGGCCAAGTTTACGTCTCGAAACGACTTCCGAAGAATCCTCTTGTTGTTCTCTGGAGTGAAATTCAAATATTAATGGAAAAATTAGGAATTATTGAAAGCGAATGTGATAGCCATTGATATTTCAGAGATAGAAAAGTAGGAGAAATCATTACATCATTATCATCAAAGATTATCACTTTGCACATGTTTTTTGAGTGCTATCACAATATGCGGGGGCATCCTCTTGAGGTAAGCCTAAGAGGTGCAGGAACTTCGAGAAAAATGAAAATCTCTCACACTTCCTGGAGTCTCTCCTCCCCTGCTCAAAGCTTAGCACCGTTTTGAAAAAAGGAGATGTTTCATGCGGTCTCAAATGCATTGGCACCACAATGCCCCCGTATCCTGGGATAGCGCCTTTTTTGTAATGTGACCAAATTGCTTCTTGCGACTGGGGAGGGACCTTTAGTCAACTTTGTAAGATTAACCAAAAGTCATAGTTCCCTATTCTCATCACGATGACATCACAAAGGAGCAGTGTGGGATCTAGCCGTGACGGCTGGTGCTTTAGTGGGCGCCTCGTGCCGCTGATGAGTGACCTTCGGTGGACTACGGTGCCGTCAGCCACCATCACAGTCGGCCAGTCCGTGTTCTCAACTGTTCCGAACCATGGTCCAATGCCCTAGCCAAACGAGAAGTAAAAGCAGAGATATGTACTAAGAAGGGCAAATCCCTTTTTCCACTAAATAAATTAACACGACTAAATTTATCTAACTTTACAAAACCCTAATCGACCGTTTCCCACCTAGAAGGAAACTAGACACAAAACGACTTCTATACAAAATTAAAGTCTATCGCACGAAAAACAAGCGTGCACAGGCTCCCTAGACACATCGGACACTAGTCAGCTCTTAGGAGAATCGCCGGGTTCCTGGCCAGGCTCACCGGCACCCTTGAGAGCGCGGACCTACCTGGCTCTTCGAGGATACCCCCAGCTTGTCAGGAACAACCACTAATGTTGTCTCAACAGACATCAAAACAAGTTCCCAAACCAGAGGCTGGTGCATCATTAGCCGCGAATCAGCAGCGAGTCGCTCGAGTCACTAGCTGATCCCGCAGCGTTCGCAAATCTGGCACCATAGTTTTCTGGGGCCAGCGGTTCGTTCACGACCTATACTCAGGCTCCATGAACATGGGACTGGAATTTGTAACTACAAGTGACTCCAGCCCCCCCCACCCCGATAATAAAGCGTGGGTTGATTGACTTTTGACTAGGAATGCATCGTGACCATAGCGACGTTAGCTGACAATAATCTAGTAGGAGTCTTGCATAATCAGAGCCTTCTACCAGTAACCCTTCGGAAGAAATTGTACAGATGGACCAGACCGAGCAAGTTAACCAAATAGTTCAAACTTCGTCGAAACCCTTTCTCCAATCGCTTTGATATCAGCATATAGAGGCACCAAAAGTTTTACTTCAAAAGTTGCAATGGTCCATACAAACTCCAAATATTCCAAAAACAAGCCAAAAGGAATTTCTTTAAAAACATCCGCATCATTTTGATGTGTATCACCTTCTCCAGGCATGGACTGCCTCAGACAAGGATGGTGCTACCCTTACAGATTCAGTTCCACTCTGGCGGCATGGCCCCGTAAGGGTAGCATCATTCTTTTCTTGGCTGAGGCAAATCCATGCCTGAAGAAAGTGTTACACATCGAAATACTGCAGAAGCCTTCGAAAGAATTTCTGTCTTCTTTGAAATTTCAGGGGGTCGATCTCAATTTTTTTCGGTCAATCTCCCCTTCTAAAGCTCTGCAGAAGGTGAAGGAGCGGAAACGCCTGGCACGTTAAGCGTGATATCTTTGGAAAGGCTTCATCAAAAGAGGAATCCATGATAAGGTCGAAGAAGGGAGTTCTTTCCATCACGTCCAGCGGAAAAAAGCCTAAATGTGGCGAACCCAAGCCGCAAAATATTGCACTAATTATATGCCCCCAATAGCCTGGCAGGGCCTTACCCCGGTCGCTCCCGCCGCTGCACGCCCAGGTAACCTCTGACCGCCTAACTCTAGCCGTTTAGCAGAAAGAGCGTTAGCTCTGAAGAGGGCAGCAACGACGAGAGTCGCATCAATGCGGAAATCAATGAGCAAGAAAGCTCGAGCTCTGGGTAGTTTATCATCTTTTCCTTCATCCTAGCACCATTGTCCACCTTCACTTAATTCTAATGGGCTACCTTCTAATCGTAAACTGCGTCTTTAAAGAAGTGCAATAGTGGGCTACGCTTCGATGTCCCCGTTCTAAATCTTGCCGAGTATTCGACTTTGCGTCATTGTTGTTAGGCACAGAATGGTTAAAAAGGATTATGATGGTGACGCTATAATAGTAGCACGGACCATGCTAACGTCAGAAAAAGGAATGATGATAACAGCTGCCATTCATTTTGAATCGCTGGTGAATAAATATTTTAGACAAATATTATTTCTGACGTTCGAGTTATTGCAAAAAGTGAGAAAAAAGTGAGCAAAACACCATAAATACAAAAATACATACAAAAGCAGAGTAGAGCGCTAACAAATATATGGCCAATGTGCTAATTGAGAACAACATTTCTATAGTTGAATTGTAACTGGAAGTGTTAAGGCAGTCCCCAATCGAACCAGCTAATAACGCATTTAGGTTGATCAATTCCTCCGGGATGCGCCATGCATTCTACCTCCACTCGGAATCGTAGTAGCATTATGAAGGCGAGTTACCTATACAATGACTAGCGTTGACAAATTGAGGTATAACTCCGGGTTTTTATTCCCGTAAACAAGTTTGGCATCTGTTAACCGACTCCGGAGCAGGACAACTGTCCTCCGTGCGATTCAAACGAAGGGGTCGCTTGCGATTTTGGGAGTTCCATTCGAGGTTTATTTAAACTTAACCATATTCGGGAAAAGTGCGAAAGGGGGGTCGTATTTGTTTGCGGAGGACTCCGACAATTCTGGCGAAAATGTCGCGAACGAGGTGAAAAATGGGCGAAATCGGAAGATTAACCGCTTCAGTGGACATATTAACCGAACAATTCTCCGCCCGTTCTGAAGGAAAAAGTGGGCGGGGTTGAGATGTTTCATCTGGACTCATAACCAAATACACAGAAACAGCCATGGTGGTGTGGGTGGGTGTTGGGTTAGGGGAGTGGGGGAAGGCTCCTATGAATAATAATGGTGGGGGGAGGGGAAGGGGGGCACAACGAGACTATCCGAAGGGGGGAGGTGTGGCAAAAATTCCAGAAAAGTGCGAACACGACGGTAGTAGCTGCTCCGGAGGGATGGAGGGTCTTGGTTGGTCTAGACGACTCGCGATCGAGGATTTGATCCCCCGACTGCGCAACGTGGTAAGCAGTGCCTTTTAGCACTGAACCAATTTCATCCATTAAACCAACATAAGAACTGCATAAAACCATAGAATGAAGAGGTGCATTTTTAAAGGAAAATTTGCGACGATGATTTCAACTCATGAAGTTGTACGAAGAGATTTATAACTAGATTCAAGAGTACAATCACCCCCCCCCCACCTCCCCTTCACCTTCCCCTGCCCCACACACAGCCATAGCAGCCAGTGGAAAAGAATCAGTGGCAGTATTCGATGGCCGATTCAGAAGCGCTTTCGGCTCTATTCATCACGTAACAAATGCCATCATGTTAGTCAGTGCCAGCGCCGAGGGGGGGGGGCAGTAATGATGATTCGTTCTTTGAGGGACTGGGAAACCATGAAATTGCAGATGAGATGACATTTAGATTGAAATCGAAGCGAATGAGAAACCATTGGATCGTTTAATGGAGTCATAGAGCTGTCCGAAAAAATACAGTCGGAACAGCCGGCTGCACGACCGCTGTGGCTCATGCGGCAGATGTCATTCAGACGGCCGACCATAAAAAGCGATCACGTCGAATAAAAATGCGCCGACGCAATACCATACACGGCTAACGGAACGACACATTGATTGATCAAATGGGTCAATAACGGCCAAAGCTGCTAAAGAATAAGAGGAACCAGCTCAACACTCATACAAAAGAGCCTTCTTTGAAGGCAGCA